AGCACCGCCGCTCCGAGAAGATTACCGGTCGGTGGAAAATTTGGTCGACCGTAACGAACGTAGGCGTAGGTTAGGCAGACGCGATAACGAGCGTTCCTCGTTGGTACCGCGAACGAACGTCCGTTTCGACGACGAGAAACGCGACGGCAAACCCTGCAATTTCCGTTTACCCGGGCGATGGAATCGGTTCGCGAACACCGTAACAAAGTTTAAAGGTAAGAAAGACGAAGAAGGTCGGGATTAGGCGACGCCCGATCGAGGCCGACTTTTTCGTTCGTGCGGTCGATCGTTATCGTCGAGCGCGACGATAACGCGCGTAACGAGCCGCGCCGATCGTGGAACACGCCCGTGGAATACTTCTCGTGAAACGCACTCGATTTCTGTTGCGAAACGCTCCGGCGGAAACGACGCTTTAGACGGAAACGCGAATCGATCCGACGCGAAGCACCATGATCGAACGTCGAAAGGTTGAACGCGAACGGCCCTCTACGTACAACTGGGTCCATTTCCCCCCGAACGAGGAGCACTCGGCTGGCCAACTCGACTTCGTCAGACCGTTATCAGCGGTAGATGGTGATAAGCGATACCGTCTACCTAACTCGAGCCGGATACTCGCTGCGACGATCTTTCGAGCGCGGTTTCTCCAAAGAAAATATATACACCGGTGTTACGCGAATTCTCGTAATCGCCGATAAAACGCGGCCAATTTTTTGCCATCTAAAATGCGACTCGAGGAACAACGGCGAAAAAAAACCTGTACTCGATGCATAGAACGTTTATTCGACGAGTCGGGGAACTCGCGTTTTCTATCGCTATCTCGAGTGCCTTGCCGTCGTCCGTAATTACCTTGAACGTTTCCGCCTCGACAGAGAGAGTCTACTTTTCTCGAAGGACGTCGACTCGCGATCGACTTTCGATCGAGTCGCGATTTCTGGTTGTCGAAGAAAGAAAAGGAGGCGTTGCACCTTGAGCAGGTGTCGGGGATCGAGAACGGTTCGCGAGATCGAGTCGACCCGATGATTCGGATAAGAGATTCCGATCGTATACCGTGCGAGTTTCGTCACCGCGATATTTCGACGAACGCGCAAGTCGAGCAAAATTAGAAACGCGTCGCTTCGAAACTGCATCGCAAAGTACGTTTCGAGTGTTCCTGGAGCGTGGCCAACGTTTCGAAGCACACGCTCGGTGTCGAAGCGCGACGCGAATCGATCGTTTTATTTCGCGCAGCTTTGTATCGTCGTTAGAAAACATTTACTCGGGTGCCGATCTCGAAGCGTTCTTTACGGCTGCGCCGAGATCGGCGATAAGATATATTCGCTGCCGATGCGCAGGCGTTTCAGCTGCTCTTACCGACGTTCCACGGAATCGGAGGAAAGACTTGGCTCGGAAAGGGAAGAAAGAGCGAGAGAGACGAGACAGAGATAGAGTGCAACGTAATGTTTCTTTTACACGACTCGCGCAGAAAAATCCGTCGCGCAATGGATTCGTTATCGATCGGAAATCGAAAAGCTTCTCGACGCGGAAAGTATTCGGTGACGTCGGCATTTGCTGTTAATCGGTCGAGAGGAAAAGGAAAATCATAAACTCGTTGTTCCAGTATTTAACGTTTCCAACGTATCGACGCTTATCGAGAGGCCTTTTTATAACCGCGCGTACAGTGGGGGAACGATTAGTCGCGTTTCGACGGGAAACGCAAGGGCGTGGATTTCTTTTGAAACCGTACACGGAATTGTAGACGCGAAAGGGTTAAATTCGCCTTCTGTCGAAGCGCTGCTAAGCTGACCGTAGCAGTTAAGAATCGAACAGGTGTCCGGCAAGGCCGAGCGCTAGAAAAATACGTGTACCCGCTTCTAATCGGACACGAGTTTCACCCACGTGGATTCGACGCGTTACCTATCGCTCCAGGCTCGGTGGAACGAGTCGACGCTATCGTTCGTATTCCCGGCAATCGTTAGCGGCAGAGATCTATTAATAGAATAATAATCGAAAACTGTGACTGTCCCGTTACGAGAAAAACTGCGAGTTTCGACGAAGCGCAGACGCGATAAGAGGAATACGATCATTTTTAAGCAAGACTGGAGGCGAATCGTCTTCTACTCTTCTATGTTCGACCGGTAAAAACGATTCGATCGCCGATCCGTGACTACGAGAGCGAAAGATTTTCAAGGCGTTACGACTTCTAATTAATACGGCGACGGTAATTTATCTTAGCGCGTTCGTTCGGATATCAATTTACGATACACGATCGGGCCGGAGCAATCGCGAACGAATAATTCGCTTTCGACCCTTGAACGATCACGAACGAAAGAAGTTTTACGGTTCGCGACTCGAACGATCGAATTCGCTCGCGATTATTCGAAATCGTCGTTGCTAGGATGAAAAAGAAACGAACCTACGATCGTTAGCGTACTAATTACCCGCATACATCGTTCGTAACTGTCCAGTTACACGCGAGTTACGTAAAGCTTAATGCCAACCTTCCTTCTCGTTCGTTTTAATTCTCCGTTCACGATTATTGCTTCTCTCCTTTTTTTTGACCAAAGTCAAACAACGAGAAGAACGTTTTCCCTTATCAGCTTCGTCGTCACGAATGTATACTGTTCCAAAGGAAAAAGAAAAACGTATAGATCAGCAACGAAGGTGGTCGGAGCGGTCGATCGTCGAGCAGCGAGCAACGGCGTTCACTCGCGTTCGTTACCCGATCCGAAGCGCGTTCTTCCGGTCGAGCTCGGATTCACCGCGTTTTGTTCACCGGCTTTCCGCGTCCGAGCACTCGCACTCGTTCACTCTCTTTTTCACCGTAGATAGTTGCGCGCTGACAGCCAGCAAAGCGTTTCGAGCGCGACGAGATCGCGACGATACTCGTCCCGTTCGGAAACTAGGAAACTAGGAAACGATCGAAGGACGCGCTCGCGTTGGAGCGAGGCGCGTCAGCCGGCACCGAAACGCGCTTCGTCCTCGTCTATCTCCGGCCGCTCGAACGACACGCGTGCCGTCGCGTACACCGATCGCATCGTGCGTATTAACCGCGCGAAAAGCACCACCGAGATAGCTGCTACGCAAACCGCGATCAACTGCGCGCAACGAGTAACCGGCGAAAGCCGCGTTCGTGACTCACGCGTCGCGCCGCTCCGCGCCACGCCGGAGCGTCCCGCGTCGGCCCGTCGAGAATCGAGAACCGATCTAGCCGACTCGACTCCGCTCGACTCCACTCGGTTCGTTTCGTTCGGCTTCGTGTTGTCTCCGCGTCGCCTAACCTAACCGCACCTCGCTCGTTCTCGTGACGAACGCCTATCGTGGCCGTGGCCCGTGCACCGCGCGAGCTCAAAGTGCAAGCGCCCACCGCAGGCCCGTGCACCGCGAGCGAGGTGCCACCGGCTCGCTTTACCTATCGATCGATCGATCCGTCTTTGCCCGAGTTTCGCGATTTACTTCCCGACTCTGAGCTCGCGAGGCGCACCTCCGACTACCGTGGAACGGCATGTTCGACCAGGTGCGTCGAGAAGTCGTAACGATTCGACGGCTACGTTTGCATCCTGTCAAGAACGTCACGATTTCTCGTTTCGATCGGAGAAAACCACCGCGATTTCGATGGAAAGAGAAACGAAACGCGTTTCTTTTCAGCATCGACCGCACTCTCAAGGTCTGCGTCTCGCGGAACACTGACCACAGAGGTAGAAACTCGTATTCGCGTTTATCTCGAGAGATTGCCGCGAGCGCGTCCTTCGTTCTTTCTGTTCGATCGGGAAATACGCGAGAAACGCGAACCGTTGCGTCGCGAATTGATCAGCGATCGCCTTTTTCTTTCTGCGAAGAAGCGTAGCGGTGCATTCTGCAGAGATCGACATTATCGACAGACGCGCAAAAGTTTGCCGAACGGAGACAAACAAGAAAAGCGAACGAGGAACGGTGCATCGAATCTTGATGAATCTTGATCGACGCGTGGCGCGCGATAGTCGCGAAAGAAAGTGTAACGGTTCGGTGAAACTATGCGTATCTAATCATTTTTTTCGCTCTGATTACGGGTAAACGAAAAAAGTAGAAGCAGGTAATTTGTATTGTCTAGAAAATATTGAAAATATGACGGCAGAAAGTTAAATAGAAAACGTGGAAATACGCCAACCTTTCCACCTACGTCGTACGGCACCTAAATTACGAGAATCCGCGGCGAAGCGGTTTCGCGGTGCGAACACGTTTCTCCTCGCGATTCAGAATTGCTCGGAGAAACTATCGGGCGAACTCGCGCGTTTTGCACGCACGTTCGCGAAAGTCTCGTGTGCGAGAGCAGGTGGGCGTGAACCACGGCGCGTCCTACGCTCGCGCACGAATCCGGTCATCCGTGTTAACCGGTCTCTTCGATCGGGAATACATAGTTTCGTACTCTAGTTACTCTTTTTCGTCGATCGTTTATGCCCGATGAACGAGAGGAAGAACGATTGGCTCTCGAGTTTCGACGATCCGCGAGTAGACGGCGACTAAGCGCGGAAAACGTTGGCGTAAACGTTTTCTAAAGTAGGCTGCAACGTCGGAGAGACCCGCGAGATCGTTCAACCGTGAACGAGAAGCAACGCCTCCCGATCGATGCGGAACGGAAGCGAACGGGTACGAAGATCGTTGTTCGCGATCACGATCGAGAACCAAAACGATCGAATCGTATCGTTGTTCGTAGACGTTGAAAAATTCGAGATCGATCAAGAGCGTTGATCTCGGACGACTCGCGATTAACTAAGTTCTAAGATGAACGACGAAAATTCGGCATTGCGAGTGGTCAATAAAAGAATTTTCGCAATTGCGCGAAGGTTCTCTCTATCAATTCGTCGAGGACTATTAGTTTGGCCATGCGAACCGAGATAGAATCGCGTTAGCAGCGAGCGTTTCGCGACGCATCAACCGCTAATTACTCGTTATTCGGACATGCACGAGAACCGTTCGTTTCACTTTTCGCCTCGTTTCATTCTCGTCGTTACCGATCACGACACGCGTCGAGCTTCGAAACGTTTCTCGCGCCCATTTATCGGTCCGTAGACGATCGTTGCCGGAGAAAGAAGAGACGGCGAAAATTGCGATCACGGGCTTACGAGCGTTCGCGTTGTCCCTTTTGATCGTGTACGACAACTCTTTCTCTCTTTCTCCGTCATCCTCGTGTCGATGCACTCGAGGCAACCGACAATGAGATTACGGCGAGGTGGACGATCCCATCGACGATGTATTGGCTCTCGTACCGTGACCGGTCATCGACGATACTATTTTCGATATATTCCTCGCTGGACGAGATCGATCGTCGAAACGTTACGAGGAGATGTCGAACAAACGCTTCTAAACGACACCATGGTCGCGATATCTCCAGTCCGTTTTCTTGAAACAGCCACTGCAGAAGTTTCTATGTTTCCACCTTTTAGCACCGTATAACCGAAAATGTTCGATGACTGTCGAAAATAATTTTTCAGCGAGATCGTCGCGTACGCTAGGGGAACTCGGCTCGTTAAATAGAAACGGCCTTGATGAAACTTCCAACCAATGTTCGTACGAACGTTGGCTATGCGCGTACGTACGGACCCCTGATGGCTATCACGGAAGTGAATCGTTTAAAGTACATTTGAGTCGTTGTTACCCGGCGTCGACAAAGAATATTTACCGTCACCGTGCAACCAACTTTTCATGCACGCGTTCTATCGCGTTCGGATATCTGTCGTTGCTTCCTGCGAATTACGATTTCCAGCGAATTCGACGCGAAATCCGAACGACGAGGCGATTCATTAATTTTCACGGAATATTCGGAATAAAGGAACTGATAGCGTCACGCGCGGTGTAAGATTCCGCACACAAACTATCCTCCAAGTTATTCTGACCTCTGATAACGCGTAAACATTAAGAAACGATAAGCTCGTTTTAATAATTTTACGTCATTTTGTTTATCGACGAAAGATACGGTAATACTCGCTTACCTTTGATAAGTATGGAGCAGAGGTGTTAATTACACGATATAACGTCTAACCGTGCTTATTATTCGCGAACGTGGCAAAGTTAATTGGGCTACGCGAGCGCGGCTTCCTTATGCGAGATAACGCGAAGATTCGACCCGATCGATACTGCGCGTCGACCGATCCACTTCTCGAGGAGGCAATCGTTTCGCGACGTACAACGCGATTCAAATATTCCATGACCGAGGTATTTTCCCACTTCGAGACGAGCGTTCGACCTCGAACTTGCGCCGTTTCCGTGCTAGGAAGCACCGCGAGAACAACGCGTTTTCAAACGGTGCTCTTCGCGAGGACAAACGAGAAGGATATCATCCAAAGTTCGTTGCACGCGGTTACTGCAACAGTTTCGTAGTTACACGCGCACCCTGGAGCACGTCTACGAGCTACGCTCTTTAAGCGCCACTGGCGTATTCCACGTTCTAAAGACCACGTCCCAAAGGCATCGTCACTCGCGTACCTAACAAATAAATTCGTCTCGTCTCGCTAACCTAACTGCGCGATAAAATCACGCTTCGAGTTCACGATCTATCAAGGTCGCGTTTCGCAACAGTCGCTATCTTCGCGGCAATGTTTCAACGTTTACCTTATTAAAATTGCGCGAATCGCTCTACAAGGCAGGCCTTTTTTGCGAGCACGAGTCCGAGTGGAACACGGGCGCGGAAACACCTAAGTAGATAAGCGTATATGTAAGAATCGATGAAAGGAGGGGCACGCTTTCTGTATCGGAAACCGAACTCGGGCTGTCGCTGACAGTTCTTACTTTCAGAACCCCTAACGGAGTCTCGGATAACGACAATGTTCGCTGGAACCTTGGTCGCGAGGACGCTCGGAGCTTTTACTTGTGGTTCGCGTCGACGAAAAAGCGAGACGTATTTACCGTGTCGTCGCTATTTTCATCGCCGATAGGATTATTTTGATTTATGCGAGCCAAGAGAAACGAATTAAGCTGGCGCCCAACCGAATCGACGAACGCGGAAGAAAAATGCATCTTCCGACGCTAGATTAGATAGCGTACGCGCGCTTCGAGCGGTCTCCGTTGGAACACGCGGCAATGTCGTGTATCCGGCGTGAGACCGACTCCGTTCGCAACGACCCTTCCTTTTCGAGCGAGCATCGATCGACGGTTTAGCCAGGGAACGAGAGAACGAACGGTCGTTTCGTTTCGTCGAACAAAGAAACCGTTTCACGAGTACGGTTACATCGACGACGATCTATTGTTTCGCCACGAAGCGGAGGAAGCAATTATCGCGGCTGCTGGAGGCCGAAGTAGCGCGGCAGACACGTCGCGCTTTTCCACTCGTCGCGTCGTTCGAACGACGGAAAAATGGCAATTTTAAAACGATAAGATAAGTCTTAGCCGGAACCGAGACGAGTCTCGCGACGCGCCGCTTGCGCCTCGAGACATTCGAACGGCAATTAAACCCCGAGCGATACGAGTTTTGACCGGGTCAATTACGTCGTTAACGACCAACAACCGCTTCGCTAGAATCTTCTCGAAGACGTTGGTAAAGGAAATTCGTGGAAATGAACAAGTTTGTTGGTTTTGCACGATTTCCTAATCGTGCGTGGAGCTTTCTCTCTGTCTCGAGGGAGAGGACGCGCTGATTTCGAGCGATAAATCGCGGCTTTGGCGAAACGCCCGCCCGTACCTACGGAATCGTTTTCGACGCGAAATCGTTGATTCGTTGCGTAAGCGACTGACGACGTTCCGAGAAACGTCATCGGGAAAACAAATGGAATAAATCGTTAATTTACAAAGTAGTTGTTTACATCGCGATTACGTAAATCGATGCATCGAAACGACGAAGACGAGTCACCCCAGGGAGAACGTAATATCGCGTATTACGAAACCGAGAACGAAGCGAAGGCGGGAAACTCGTTTTCGCGATTAAAGATTCGCAGATTTTTCGATCGACGCGGGGGCAGTGGGGCACGGGGCGATCGCACAGCTGCTGTATCGAGATTCGAGAGGCGATATCCTCAAGGATATCTCGGACCGCGTGGCTCGGCATTTTCTTACCTGAAGTTTGACGCGTGGCTTGGCGTGTCGTTTCACGTAGCTGTTTCTGCCCGAGCGTTGCTCGAAGGACGGTGGGAGAGGAGGCTGCGATCTTCTCGCGGCTTGATCGATCGCGTTGTTCGGCTTGTTCCTTACGGTAACTTGATTGTTCGCGCGATTTCCATTCGCCGTCTGCGTGATCGCGTTGGCGTTCGTCGTCGGGGCGTCTCGGTGGCTTTTCGTGCGACGAAGCAAACGACGCACGGTATTTTTCACGGTTGCGGCCAAGTGCGTACCGCCGCCGCCGCCACCGCCGCCACCACCGGCACC